ATGCAACGAGTAAGAGTGAGTAGACAAAAGCGATTCCTCCAGAACGATTCTTTGCAGGCTTCGAGAAGGCCGAGAGTGGGAGTTTCTCCGCTTTTAAGCGGCTTGCCTGGCCGGTACGGTGATTGGAAGGGGGTGTTTGCTGTGCGATAGGCTGGGGATGTGAACCGGCCTGGAGGGGTTAACTTTGGCTGACGTCTACCAAATTGAATTTCCGCGGGCTGCATGATAGTAATATAACTTCAGGGAAGAGGGAGACAAAATGGGTGCAGACGCAGAATCGTAAGAGCAGTGAAAAAAGATAACTTAGAAGGATAAAGGGCAAAACAATGATGACATGGTAATAAACAAATAGTAAGAAAGAGTTTAAGAGTAGAGGAGAGGGGTAGGTGTGAGTTGGGGGTGTTGTTTGATGTGGGGGTTGTCATGTGTTTAAGTGTCGTCAGTGCTTGTGTGAGAGGGTTAGGCTCTCAGAGGACAAGTAATCAACCGGTAAGAAAGTTTAAGAGTGTGGGTTTGATGGAGAGGGGTTCTGTAGTGGTGTGAGTGGTTGAGGTGGGTGAGGTTGGTGTAGTGTCGAGAGTGAGATGGTCTAGGAGGAGATTTTTCCATTGGTTTATGGTTATTTTGTGTCTTGTTTTCCAGTTCATGAGGATCGTTTTCTTGGCAATGGCTAGGGCAGCAAGGAGAGTATTTTGGTCGTTTGGATTGATATTTATTGTAGAGGTGTGACTGAGTATGCATGGGATGGGGGTACAGGGGATGTGGCAGTCAAATATGGGGGACAGGATGTCTGTGACCTTCTCCCAAAAGTTGTGAGCGTGGGTGCAGTGCCAGAAGGCGTGGATGTATGTGTCCTGAGTGTTTTGTGTGCAATTAGTACAGATAGCTGAAGTGAATCCCATCTTTGCTAGTCTGTGCCCAGTGTAGTGTGTTCTATGAATGATTTTGTATTGAATGAGTTGTAAATTGGAGTTATTAGTCATGGAGTAAATATTGTGGCAGATTTGTGTCCAGAAGGCGGGATCGGGAGGAACCGTAAGGTCCTTTTGCCATTTGTCAATTGGGATGGGGCAGGTTGTGTTAGATTTTGTGATAATTTGATAAGTTTTGGAGAGGCATTTTGTTGGTTTTAGGTTGAGAAGAGAGGTAATTGGTTGTGGGAGGCTGAGGTCTGCGAATGTATTGTTGTATGCTGTAATGGATGCTTTCAGTTGTAAGTATTGTAAAAACTGGTTCCTCCCGATACCGTATTCCGAAGAGAGATGGTTAAAAGATGTAATTGTGTTGTTGTGAATGATGTGTTGCAGGTGTGTGATGCCTTTGTCTGACCATGTGCGGAAGTGGATTGGTTTTTGTTGCTCAGGATGTCAGGGTTATTCCAGATAGGTGTGTGAGTGGAAGGGCCAAGGGTTGAGTTGGTGATTTTGTGGAATTTCTACCAAGCTGTCAGGGCTGATGATATTGTTATGTGTTTGAAGCATGGATTTGATTTAATAGATTGAGTAAGAAAGGGGAGGAGTGAAAGTTCAATATTAGGGTTATGTGTTTGTTCTATGTCTAACCAGGTGTCTGATGAGTGGGGTTTGATCCATTTTAAGATATATTGTATTTGGTTGGATATGAAGTAGTGGAGAAAGTTGGGGGCGTGGAGTCCACCTTGCAATTTTGGCTTTCGTAGAGTATTTGATGCGGGCAGGTTTGTTTTTCCAGTAGAATTTTATTATTGCAGAGTCGAGGGAGTTGAACCAGGTGGTTGGTGGTTGAGAGGGTAGCATTGAGAAGAGGTAATTAATTTTGGGCAGTATAGACATTTTCACTGTTGCAATTCTTCCAGCTAGGGAGAGTGGGAGATTCATCCATTGTAATAGTTTATCTGTTGTTGTTTTGAGTAGTGGGGAGTGGTTGAGATGAATCAGCTCTGACAGCTTGGAGGAGAAATTAACACCGAGGTAAGTGATATGTGATGTGCATATAGGGATAAGTGGTGGGTTGGCTGCCACATCCCAGTTGGGGTTTAGAGGGAGTATTGAAGATTTTTGCCAGTTTATTGAGTAGTCAGAAATTTTTGAGAAATTCTCTATGAGGCGGATGGTTTCAGGTAACGAGGTTTGTGGGTTCTGCAAGAAGAGTAATATGTCATCTGCATAAAGACTAATTTTATGGTGGATTTTGGGTGTTTGGATGCCAGTGATTAAATTATTTTGTCTTATTGCTGCCGCCAATGGTTCAATGAATATGGTGAATAGGTATGGAGAGAGTGGGCATCCCTGTCTAGTTCCCCTGTGTAAAGTGAATCTTTGTGAGGTTAGTCCATTAGTTGTGACAGTTGCTGTTGGTGATGTGTATAAAGTATTCACCCAGTTGATGAATGACTCTCCAAAGCCAAATTTCTGTAAAGTGGATTTGAGGAATGACCAGTTGACTTTGTCAAATGCTTTTTCTGCATCAAGACTAGCAATTATTGTGTTCAGTTTGTTGTGTTGTGAATGATCTATAATGTTAATGAGTCTGCGGGTGTTGGTGGATGAGTGTCGACCCTTTATAAATCCTGTCTGGTCTGGGTGAATTATGGAGGGCATGATTTGGTCGAGTCTGTTTGAGAGGGTTTTTGTTATAATTTTGAGGTCAGTATTGAGAAGGGAAATGGGGCGGTAGTTGCTTGTGTGAGTTGGGTCTTTATTGGGTTTCAAGATTAGTGAAATTGCTGCTGTGTTCATGTGGTCTGGTATTTTGGAATGGAGTTTTATTTCTGTAATTAATCTTAAAAAAAGCGGGGAGAGTAGTGTCCAGAAGTGTTTGTAGAACTCAGCAGGGAAGCCGTCTGGTCCGGGTGATTTGTTATTGGGCATTTTTGATAGGGCAGTAAGAAGTTCTTTTTCGGAAAATGGAGATTCAAGTATATATATATATATATATACTCCCACTAGGTTTTTTAAGAGTTTTTCCTCGTCGATGCAGGAGGGTCTTGTTGGACAGTTAGTGTCCAACAGAAAGGATTGGTGATGATCAGGACACTTTAGCATTCTACAACATGTATGGACATTTTCTTCTGTGTGTGCTTTATATTCTTCATGTGTTTTAACTGTTGATTCTCTGACCTGTGTTGGTGATTTCAATGGTTTTGTTAAGTCCTCTGAGATGACTTCTGTTGTGACCTAGGGCTATACAAGAATAAATTGTATTGTGTATCGTATTGTATTGAATGCTTTATTAGCATTTTTCAAAAAGTTAGCATTCCTCCAGTGAATTTTCACCTGATCCGCTTGTTTTGGACCGTGAATCCTCTCTGCTCCGGTCTGGACCAGTGAAAAACTATGCACACTGTACTGCAGCAACATCTCAGGCAGAAAAAAGCAATACAAATAAAACATTTAAAGCACAAAACAGCAACTGTTTCAGAGCTACTTAGGACTTGCTGCCGTTTTCCAGTCCATTTATCACATAATCCCAACAATAAACAAGGGACTACTGTAGTTTAGGAAGATTCATCTTGTCTTCTTAGTAGAATTAAAACTAATGGGTTCTTCTTTACCAAATAATATATGGTTTTGTGATGTTATTACCTTGATATGTTTCGATGTTTAGGAACAGCAGCTGATAAAGGCATGTCATGTGTGACGTCACAAGACGCTTCTGAGGGAGACGGAAGTATCCGTCGAAACATGTCAAGGTAATTACATCTCAAAACCTTATTATTGTCTGGTATAGAAGAACCCAATACTTTTAGAGGGACTAAAGTATGATAATGATATTGATATTAAGGAGGTGGCAGTAAATGTGTGTCCTGCTGCTGGAGGCTGCACTCACAGTTTCTGCTGAGTCCTTTCACAGATTAACACTCTTTTCTCAGGGACCATTGAACTGAGAGAAAACTGTACAACTCCCACTGTTAAGACGCTAATGTGCCATACAGAGAAGTCAATCGTGAACACAGGTACTTCAAATAATACTGTCTCACTATATGAATGAGATTCCTCCATATTATGCCAATTTAATCTGTTTAAACCATTTACGTCTGCTCATGAAGAACATTTGAGCGGTAAATAAGAATGACAAACGTGGACAAACTTTCATACATCATGACAAAAGCAAGCCCCCACTTTTCAACTTGAGTCATGAGCTCAAATAGTTGCAGAGCGTTGAGTCCAGATGCAGTTTTTTCAGTTTCTAGTTCTAACATTCTGTCAAGTTTTCCACTTGGAGATTTGCCGAATTTTTTTTTTTTGATTTGTATTTTCATAATTACATACGTTCAATGGACTATTATATGGACTCTATATCCGTTAATCGGTATTTATAGATAGTACCCTTGGGTATAAAGGAGTGCCCAGTTACTCTGTGGAGGAAACTCGGAAATCAAGGGCTTTATCTTTGGACTTTGATGATTGAATGAGCCATAAATGAATTCAATTTGTTCTCAAAGTTATGAGTTTACAATGCGTTCTTTGGAAAGAGATAATTTATTAACTACCACTACAACTAAACGTACCTGACTTTTTAGTAAAAGTAGTAGTAGTGGTTTTTTGAATTGTTCATTTCTTTGGTCCAGTGCCTTTTAATAAACACACTTCTAAAACATATTCACCATGAAACATTGTACTCTACATGTATTTAGTGGTAGGGGAAACGGGAGCATCCAGAGGAAACCTACACAGACACGGGAGATAAAGGCAAATTCCACACAGAAAGGCCATGTGAGAAGGTGGCAACGAACCCAGGACCTTGCAGTAAAGCACTGTGCAACGATAGGAAACTACAGGGCCACCGAACATACTTTAAATTCAGTGTGTTTGGTCAGAAGGAAACCAGCACTGACTAAATCTGGAGAAAAGTTGTAAAGGTTGTCTATTTCCCAAACTGCTTTAAGTAAACACATACAGATAGTCTGTCCCTGGCTAACTGGCCGTGATACGCGTTTTCCCAGCAGCTCTGCACTGCTCTCGCCAATAACCCAAGGCGACCGTAAATCTCCTCCTGTGCCACAGTAAACACAAACGTACCCGGAGCTTGCGTCCAAACACGATGACTTTCCCACGGGCCTGTTCTTTGCGGAAGCGCCACTCCACTAGGTTGGTTCCACTCTCCCCGGGCAGGCTCATGTTGCGCCTGGCCACTGTGGGGTTGGCAGCGCCCGCCAGGATGTGGGGCTCGGTCTGGTAGTGTGTGTCCATCCCGTTGGCGTAGGTAATCCGAAGAGAGTTATCGAAGCCAACCTGGTACACGCTTTTGCACTGGTCTGCAGAGACACCACAAGTCCAAGTTAGCAGAGAGAGAGGCAGGTATCTGACAGAACAAATACTATGCATTATTTATATTAATTTTGCCCAGAAGCATCTGAAAATATTGACTTTGTCTTCTCCTTTTGATACATAAAAGACCATAGTACAACATATATGGATATACATTCAAAAAATGAATAAGAGATGGTGCAGATGAGAAACTACTATCATTTAGTGGGAGATTATGTTCTGCTTTAATTAATAACATTTAATTGATCTGATCTGAATACTAGTTTACTCAATAGACGCTCTGTACAATCTCACATACATGTTGCTAAACTGCATTCCGTTGCATTGTTCTCACTTTGTAATGACAATAAAGTTGAATCTACTTGCACCTTTTGATCTACATAAAAAATGTATTTGAAGTTCCTGACAGGGCCATACTCTGGGTCTTACCTTGAGTCAGAGAATAGAAGACCCTGAAGGTGGAGGCGTTGGTTGTCAGGCTCATTTCTTCGTCGGACAGGGAGCTCTCCACATCCACGGTAAGAGCACTGTGCAGGTCTGCGTACAGGTTGTTTACCATGCCCGTGGGGAAGGTCACGTTCATGAGGCGGCCCTCACTGTCGTAGCTGCAACACGCACAACACAGCAGGTTTCACACACAGAAACAACACACAACATAACTTGAGTATTTCTGAAATTTCCTCACTGTGGGACAAACAAAAGATCTCTTAATTTCTTACTTTTGACCTCACACACAATCTTTACCTGCATGTGAAAGACTAAATAAGCTAGGAAGTTAGGAATAAGTTAGGAAGGAGAGACACTCTCAGGTAAAAGCTGCTGATATTAGCGTGGATGGAGCTAATAACTCCAGGAATATTTTGAAGATTGAAAACCGTTGTAACATGAAACTCTGCACCAGGAGAGGACTAGGACATTTGCACCTGGAGAAGAGTGGTACCTCTGCATTTGTAGAGGATAGCAACCTCTGTGGCTATTGTGTCTCGGGACCTCTGAACAGCTTCACACCTGGCTGTAATCCATTCCAGTTCCAGTGCATGTTGAAGCTCCTGGTTCCATCAATCTGCTAGTATTGATTTAGATGTGACACCCTTTTCCCAATCACATTCAAAACCTTCAAAGTTCTTAAGTGAATCTTGAGTTATGTCCTCTCGTCCAGACCGAACAGTCAAAGTCCTTTTTCAAACTTTGCAGATGACAAAATGTCAGCGCACTTCTCTGATCTATAATGCTTCTAATTATCAGCTCTTTTATCCACTTTGAGTACCTTCATCAACATTATTGTAATTAAAACGTCATTTTTATCATTCAGCCCTCTCTGAATGCACAAGGGCCGTCTTCTTTCTGCCCAAAGTGAAACTGTCCAAATATTTGATGTCTGCAAAGTGGCGCGGCTCGTCATCTTTTGGGGTTTGCATAAAAGCCAGACTTGTAATGAAGTGGATTGTTTGCTTGATGGACGTGTCAGTCTCATTTCTATTGAAGGCGGTACGTTTTATGTCAGCGGGGGTATCGCTCTGTGCTAATGTGACATGACAGAAGATCACACAGAAGAGCTGAGGCCGCGACATTAGAATTCAACATGACACTGTCTTGAGTGTTTTACATTTACCTCAGATTGTAAAGTTGGGGACCCTAACTTTGAAACTACAAAAGACAAGTTATGTAATTCATCCAACTACACTGCTCAGAGTTATAAAGGCGAGCACTTGCAACTCCAAGTTATTGAAACTTCTGGAATATCAGCCTGTCCAATCCAGCCACACAGGCCATCCAAATAGAACAAAGAACAGGTGGAAATGCAATGCTTTTGCAGTGGCTGACCAGAGACCAGACCAGACAAAGCATACTGTATATACAGTATACAGCCATATTCCCATATATACATGTTCACTGCCCACTTATGGAGACTCTATGAAAAGAGCTGCATGCACAGAGTGAATGTGGCCGATAATGGCAGTACGGGGTCACTCGTCCTTGTTGGACCCCATGTTAATGAATATGGGCGTTCCCCTGTCCTGCAGCATCATACACAGCTGCATGTGCAGCCTCAAAGACTCACAGAACATTATTATCATGATTCCGATTGATCTGACATGTAGTTGGTGGAACCACTAGCGTCTGAGCCTTTAGAGAGTCTGATATCTTTGTTCTTTTCCTTTCTATTTTAAGGTCTATGGACTATTTGCCTTTGTAATTATAAAACCGGAAGACAACAGAGGGATGAATAATGGCCATATGATATATCGGTTGATTTCTCTGTATATCATTTTTGTTATATTTGAACAAAAGTCATGAAACTAAGGAAATGTTACATTGCTTTGAACCAACATTGAGAAATTATTTCATACTATTAGGGAACGTGAGCTGGTTTAGAACATCATAGGACAAGTTAGTTTTATGTTCATTGTAGATAGACTCAAAGCAAAGCAACGACAGACTGAAGCGCACTCACTCAAAGAAGGTGGTCCATCCGATCTCAGAGGTCTTGGTGGCCAGCAGGCCGTTGTTGCCGTGGTAGGTCAGCAATACCAGCTCCTGCCCCTGGGCGGTGAGTGTCTTCAGGCCTCCGTTGGTGCCCATGGAGAGCCAGATGACCTGGTTGTCCGGCGCCACGATGCGTACCGGCGTCCTGTTGGCGTCGCGGCGGATCCGCAGGGTGTTGCCGCTGCTGTCGGTTGCTGCAGTGATGTCATTATCAGAACTGTAGCCGAAGCTGTACTTGAGATCTCCGGTCAGCAGGTTCGCTGTGTGCTGGTGCGTGCCATTACCGTCAAACACATACAACTCCTGGGCGTCCGGAGAGGCCACCTGCACAGGGCAGAGAGGGGAGGGATCAGGATAAAATGAGAGAGAGCTATCAACATCCCTTCTTGACATAACACTGGATGAGGCCCATGTAATGTATAGATGGACTGTTGCTGATGGAGCCCTGTTGGAACCATATATGGCAGAGGAAACGTTGTGATAGGAAATTTGATGCTTCTTACTTCAGACGCATCTACACATTGCAAAAATTAGAAGGGGAGAATAAAAAACTATTTATCGCTTGGATTGAGAAAGAAAATGTGAGTGTGAATTAAAGCAGATATTAATTTAATTTTTATTGACACATTTTTTTCATATTAGCAGTATTTCCATTTTGAATGAGTAATTAATTACTGAAAAAAACATAGCGGTGGATCTCTACTTCATACTGCCTACACATTCGTTTCTGGCCAGGTTACATGTGAAACAAATAATATGCCTATTTATTTACATAACCACTCTGTTCACAACACTGGCTCCAGCACATGGCACCGCTGCAAACTTCCAATATAATATGGCAAATAAATGAGAGCACTTTCACCATTAAAGGTAATTAGAGCTCATTTTTCCACACAGCTGCTGTTATGGTGTGGCTCGCCGACGGCCAGCGGTCAGAGTGGACACTGTAATTACAGGAGATGAGATTGATCATGATAAAAAAAATAGCTGCCTAACAGTTTAACAACTCATCTCCTCCATTAACCTGGAGAGAACAGATCCACCTCATTGTAGAGATATGCACTTATATGCACATTCACATTGCAAATTGTAGAGAATTGGCAGAAGCCAGGAATCACAAGTGAATATTAGTCTGGGAACAGTCCGTCTCATGTTATCATAGGAGAGGTGTGGCTTACGATTCCCCCTAGCAGTTTATTGGGATGAATATCTGTCATATGCATCTGCTAGTCTGCAAGTCTTGCCATCACTCCCTGTTCTGTGAATTGTTTATCCAAGTGAACATATCCACCAGGGATTCTATGCTATGCTATGCTGTGCAGGTCTAAATGATATGGGAACACACTGCAGCATGGGGATTCCCAGGCTACAAAAGATGCATTATACATTTTTTTCATGAAAAAGCGTCTGCTACTGCCATTGCATTGTCTCAACCTAAATAGAAACCATTCTTACTTGTGAATACTAACAATGTGACAAAGGAACAGTAGATCCATCTAACTTGTTCCTGTGAACAAAAACTCACATGACTCTAGAGTCAAGACTAATCACCTACATGCTAACAGCTATATATCTACAGTTTCACCACAGAGCTGATCAGGCCTGAGCAATCTTTCCTGTCACAGTTATAATGCATATAGTCTTAGAATCGCTCTAGTAAAAATGAATAGGTTAGTATCTGATTTGTTTTTCGTAATGCTGTCAGTTAAATACTTGGCATTCACGCAAATTCCATTTTTTTTTTTTATTAACTATTTTTTGACTAATGCGAAGCACAAGAGTGCAAACGTTTAAGCTATAGTTATTTCCACCACGCATGATTATCATATACACTGTAAAAAATATAACTTGAATAAAAAAAATAAACAAAAGAGAAGCCTTCATCAGAAAATTAAAGTCATTTGTACCATTTTTGCAAGGAAAAATATGATTTCTATATATAAAATATATAGGAAGAATATGAGCTTTTTCTTCTTCCAATCCCTTTTCGAACCAAATCTAGGGATATTTAGAACAGGGAAAAATGTCTGATTAATAGCAATTAATATAAAAATATCTTAATCGTTTACAGCTCTAGTTTTTACTCTCAGCTCTTCAGCTCACCTCGTAGGAGCCTCCGCTGTACGTGGGCCCGTTCCTAGAGATGGCCCTAATGCGGATGTTCCCCAGATCTGCCACGTACAGAGTCCCGTCTGGAGCGGCCACCAGCGAGGACGGAGCGTTGAGCCGAGCGTCTTTGGCGTATCCGTCCCCTGCCTGGTAGCAGTCGCAGTTAGCATCGTTCTTACAGTCACATTCTGACGGCGCTCCGGCCAAATGCGTGATCTCGCCATCCACCGAAACCATGCGGATGCGGCTCATTTTACGTTCGTCTGTCTCCGAGATGTAGATGGCCCCATGGTACGAGATGGCGATGGACACAGCTGATTCCAGGGGCGTGAGGAGGGCCCTCTGTCCGCCCGCCAGGCCCCGGTCGAAGGCAGCGAGCGGGCAGTGGGTGGGGCGGCCCGCGGCGATGCTGACCTGTCCCGTCTCAGTGATGCGCAGCACGATGTTGTTGTCCAGGACGTACAGAGAGTTATCCATGGGGCTCACAACCAAATCTGTGGGCCACTCCAAGATCACCTGCCAGAGCAGAAACATAAGTGAGATGAGTACGTAAGTAAGTATGTAAAGTTTACATATGTAGCGCCATTCACAGACCAGGATCACAATAAGCTTTAAAAAAAAAAAAACATACAATAACAACAGCACAACTACAAGTCAGTTCCAAAAAAATTAATATACCGAATAATCATCATAATAATTACACTTCAAATGTACTGAGGCGAGAAAGCCTGCGTAAACAAAGGTTGTGACCGACTCTGGGAGACTGGGGAAGATCATTCCAAAGGTGCGGAGCAACAGCCTGGAAGGACCTGTCCATCAACAGGTTGTGAGTGGGTGATCTCAGGCTCCTATATATGCTAGAGATATAAGGCTTGATAAGGCCCTTGATGTATTCAGGGGCCTGACCATGAAGAGCCCTGAATGTCAACGCCAGAATTTTAAAGTTGATCTTATGTGTGACAGGGAGCAAGTAAAATGACTTCAAGATGAGTTTGTATTTAAAAGAATTCTCAAAGAAATTCAGATTCAGAATTATTGGTTTACAAAAAGCGCAATAAAAATTCACTGATAACAGTCATTAGTAAATAAAGACTAAAGACTTTTGGCTGGTGACAAAAGTTTACCAGACGAGTTGCATTCTGAAACTTCTCATGTCCACCGCCTTCATGTTTCCATTGAGTTTGCTTTAACATGATCCATGATTAGGGATGTAAAAAACTATGAATTTTCATGACCGACCACCGAGCATCATTAACCGGTTGAAACCGGTTAACCGCGTAGCTAAATGTATGCCACGTTCTTTGAAATAACAGCCATTTCGAGCCGCGTACTTCTCATAAGTGCAGCTCTGCGTTCTACTGGATCAGAGCCGAGGGAGAGATGATGCGTGTGGATGTTACGTATCAATGGAGGGGGGGAAGTGTGTGTGTGTGTGTGAGAGACCTCCTCCTCCCCCCACCTTTCTTATTTTTAACCGACAGCTTTGACCGGTTAACGCTGTGACGGTCAACCACCGGTTAAACGGTCACCGATTTACATCCCTATCCATGATAACTGCGACTTACCATTAGCTTTCTAACATTTAGCCTTTTAGAGCTAAAGATAGCTTTCCATGGTTATCTACACAGCTATTTACCTGTAGGTGAGGCTGGGACATAATTAGAAATTCAGGTTTCTTTCTATGGTCTGTTTAAACCTCATCATTGGCATCTGTGGATTTTTTGTTTTAATACATATTCATTGAAAATCAGTTTTGATTCTTTTCCGAACAAAAGGCCCAGAAGTTTTAGTAATATAGACTGATCATCTAAATCTCAGAGACATCCTGATACAAAATGCTAATTCCACTAAATCCTACAGTTGTGTTTTTGAGAAAATTTAACCGCTTTGAGTATTAGATCAGTGAGACTACAGAGACCCATCACAGTCCCTTCCAATCAGGAAAACACAATTTTACCCTCACACCGCCTTTGTCATTGTGCATTATCATCAATGAATATCCACTTGAACAACTTCTGCAGATGCCCAGGCCTGACACAACACAGCAGATGTTGGAGCAGTACCCTGGGATTCATGCTCCACAGAGCTGCTGCTGCTGGAGCCGGCAGTCCCTCAGGAGGAGCCGGCCTCTGGAGCTGCTTCGGAGCTGCTCTGAAGCGGCTCCGGAGCGGCCAAAGCACTGTGAGACAGATGCCTCCCGCTGGAAGTGTGTGAGATGGGCTTAAAGTGGTAAGAGAAGGACCGTGGGAACCGGGCAGGACTACACACCTCATCACCAGCTGGGTCACCTGGACTGGAGCCTCATGCTGGGGGACCCAAAGGACTGACCATTCATGCAACACTCGGGAATTTTAACTGGATAACAGAGACACTTTTATACAAGATGCTAGAACATATCAAAAATGTGATGTGGCTTTAGTAATAGTAGTTATTTTGTGGATTAACTCTGGATAATCTAGTTGTTATGGAATGACCACATGAATCAGTAAACTCTGTACATTTTGGCAAAGCAAATCCTCCATAAGGTTAATGCCGGAGATCCATACTCTCAAAGCAAAAAGATGAAAAACGTGATTCAATGCTATCAAACATAAAGTAGCTTTCACACTGGAGGCCTGCATATTCACCCTTAATTAGGATCCAATTGCCCAATGATGTGAACTAGATAAATAATTTGATCATAGAAATCTAAACAAAGTAATAGACCCCACATAAGTGGCATTGGAAGCGTACAGCCATCACCAGCCCGTTTCTAAGCCTCAACAAGATTCAAATGTCGCTCATACAATCGTGAATATTGAATCTCTTAATCTCTGTCAGAGCTGTCAGGGTAAGCATGTGTGACTGACGTGTGGCCAGACCGCACAGCTAAACCAGAGCATCGTATTCACATTCTGAAACCTCACTTTTGGATTCATTTATCTGCAGAGCGTGGACACAGCAGGCTCACTGCAGACGAGTCTAAAAACGGACTCCAGTTCTCAGCTCACACACAGAATCTTTGCAAATACTTGGACTCCCATTGACATTAATCAACGATGTCTTGAACCCTTGTGAAGAACTTAATTTAAAAATATAACTGCATGTAATAAAGATGCATTTAACTAGTTTTAGACAGAAAAGGGACCACCACACTCACTCGGCAGATCAGCCCAATTTTTTTGATTCAAACAAGTACCAAGAAATGTATATTGAGCCGAGTGTCCACCGCAAGAGTTCCTGGTAAAAGGAGCCGGGTGGAACTTTTACAGGAACCGTCCTCTCCCTCGGTCCTCTCAGTGGCTGTGTCTCCACTGCAGAGTAGGACCACTCGGCGACGTCATGAGTTTCGATTGCCGCATAAGCGACACTCATTACGCCAAACCCATTAATTTATTTTACAGTCGTGACCGCTCTGGTTGTTGTGGTCTTTGAGTTTTTTATATAGTCCTGTCTTAATATATCTTTTCATTTTGCAGCGATGCCTCAAACCCCCTCTAAATCAATGCTGTGCTGTTGTTTGCTGTTTCCAGTGCTGTCTGCTAGTCTAATGCTGCTATAGGCTAATGCTGCGAGGCTAATGCTGCTGGGCTAATGCCAGTTGTTTTGCTGCTTTCTGCTGGCGTCTGAGCCTGCGCTAGCTTTAGCCAATCGGCGCCGGGTTAACCTCGAGTCCCACCAGGGCCCAACGGAGTACCTAGCATGGAGGAGGGACTCCGTTGGGGCGCTGTAAAAGTTCTTGTAAATGGCCCTGTGGGAGAAGATCCTGCGGTGGAGACACGCACCGACGGGGCTGGCCCTGGAAAATTGCCCCGAAGTTCCTGGGGTGAAAACGCGGCTATGCATTATATAGTGGTAACACACATCAGCTCCATTTATAATTAAAAAGCATGGTATATAAAGGCTGTTGAGAAGAATAACTTCCAAAAAGCACAGACGAGCATAGAGGTTCTTTCTGGAGTAAACGGAATGCTTTCAAAAATATGTGTGTATGCTGATACGCCTACGCTATGGGTAAATTTCCGGTGTAAATTGATGCCAACTCTGATCGTGGGAAAGTCACATTTGAAACTCTTAAAACATCAAGAATATCATAACTTGAACATAAGTATGTACTCTATGCTGTAGTAAATCGTCTATCCTCATGTCGATGTCGTTTTACAAGGCATAATACACCTGCTCAGTAGTAGAAGTGCTGATCTGCATTGCCATCAGTTCTTCTGGGCTTTAATATCTAATTACAACAAATTTGACTGAACTGAAGTATTAATCCAAATCTTAATGCAGCCAAGACTTGCAGATCCATATAGAGCAGCTCTCTACCGCTGCCATCATCAACATTCATAAGAAGAGAGTTTTCCCAATTTGAAATGTAATTGCAGTCCAGGTAGAAGGCGCTGAATGCAGAAACAGGGAAAGTGTTTGGGGAGCTGCTTCTCTCTGACCTAGTAGCTCTGAAAGTAAATTTATCATGATTTATTAAAGAGGGATCTTCTGCAAGTCAAATATACACACGGTTATATGTATAAAGCGCCAGAGATGTCGTCACGCAATCCCAGCACACTGGCATGGAAGGTGAAGGAGATTTCACACAGGAACAAACCACCGCTAACACATTATACTTCCAGAGAGAGTAAAGTAGGGTTTTGCATAAATAAAGGAAGAAGCACATCTCCCCGTCCCTTCTGTCCAAATGCACTGCTTTAAAATGTGTTACACTAGAACAAAGCCTCAGCCGATCAGAGAGGTTTTGTGGCTTCAGTGCTCTGAATATCCATCCATCATGTGAAATGGAACCCGTCTGTTGGTGACAAAAGCAGGTAAAAATAAATAATGTGAACAGAAATGTGGGTGAAGTTCTTCTGTGTCAGTTCTGATAGTTGTTTGATGGAAGGGTGCAACAAAGCTGTGGCAGACAGTTCAAAAGGGGAAGAAAACCAGGGCACTGAGTCTCTGAAGCTTTAGTGCGAAGATGCACTTAAGAAGAAACAAAACTTTACAAACTTTTCTCAACTCACAAATCAAATATGTTCTAAAAATAACCTCCTGCTTTATGATGGCCGATGGCATGTTGCCGCAGGCCGGTGCGGATAGCCCCCGAGAAAGCCAATACAGAACGCACATTAAATTGTCTGAACAATGTTTAATTTAGAATTAAAATGACAAGATTTTCTCCTCCAAATCCACCACACGCCATCCTCACCAACCTCCCAGCACCAGTGAGGAGACTTCAAGGAATAAGAAAGCTGCATTTACAGACATTAGCAGAAGTCCTATGTGGATTTATTGAGACATGTTGTTCCCCATGGACCTATTCATATTTTTCTCGCTCTGTGCACAACTTAAATGAACTCAAAACCAAAACCACAAGGAGACAATATGGTCATCCATGAGCAACACACACTCACATCTTTTGGTTCAGCCCCTTCATCAAGAAATACTGGACAGACATTCAGAGATCACTGCAAGATATCTTTAACTGTACATTGGACTTTGAGATGAAAACTTGTTTGTACGCCAATGGACTGGAGAAAAGAGGTTCAATTCAAGAATTGGACATAAGGAGCACACTTCTAGGCAGTTATGGTGAGTTAAATTTCTCATGCACTTTATGTTTGTGTTCTTATGTTAGTGGAGATATTTTTTGCTAACGGCAATACAGAAAAATAGTGAATGGTGAAAGTGTTGAAGGATGAGGCCATCTGCATTCTGTAATTAAATCTGGAAACAAATTGAAGTATGTTTTATTCATATTTATAGAGAAGTGAATAGAAATACATGTTTGTGTAGATTTTTCCTTTCTGCTAGTATACCGAGACAAGAGCGGTCTGAGCCTCCGTGTGGTCTCTACTGATCACTTGTTATTTTCCCTGGACTCATCTAGATTATCCAGATGGTCAGTATAAAACTTTAAACAGGAGCAGGGGGACCATTTGTTTGCTGGGTCCCAAGAACACGAGACCCACTGTGAAGCATGGGCCATCTTTTCTACAATGGTGACAGGATGACTGATCCGTATCAAGAAAAGGACCCATGTGAGATTTTGGTCAAAAAACTTCTCCCATCAGTGAAAACCTTAATATCAAACGTTGCTGGGTGTTCCAGCATGGCATTGATCCAAAACACATATTAGAAGTTTTTCCTGGTCCTGTAATGGCCTAGCCAGTCACCAGACCTCAAATCAATTGAAAATGGAAGTTGAAAGTCTGTATTTCCAAGCGACAGCCACAAAACATCAGCTCTTGAGAAAATCTTTCATAGCCAACAAAGGTTAAATTACCAAGGCGTGAGTTAAACTTGTATAATTTATCAAATAGTTGTACGCATAATTACACAAATACATTGTTTAAATATTATAAACTGTGATTTCTTTTCACATTATGTCACGCGCAGTCGAAGTGTACCTATAATGAAAATTGAGCACCCCTTACAGGAGAGCTATTTAGGACCTATGCTGTCTGGAGCTTTATGCTCCTGAGAGGGTCTCCCATGACAAATAGGTCATGCTCCTAGGTGACGGGTCAGACAAAGAGTAGTTCATCATTTATTTATAATGTGCTTCACATCTGAAAAGCAGATCTCAAAGTGCTACGAGTAAAAACATATATTCTAAATCTGAACGTTAACCCATAGAGTGCATTCTCGGCATGGACAGCAGTGTGTTGTCCTTAGAAGCAATAACGCACATGAGCGCGCGTAACCCATACGCAGGTGTCTGTGTGCGCGCTGTCGCTCCATCCTGTGTTTTCATTCATCGATCTATGAAATTCTTGTAAGTACGTAAATAAGTGAGTAATGTTTATTTATATAGCACATTTTACAGACCAAGATCACCCAAAGCGCTTTACAATGTTCAGAGTTCATATCATTCCACACACGGTGATGACGGAAGCAAGTTGCAGAACACACTGGACCATCAGCCCCCAATCAACACCATCCATTCACTCTCTCATTTACATTCATTCCTATTGTGCATGTTTTTAGAGGTAGGGGAAACCGGAGCACCCGGAGGTTCTCAGAGGTGAGCTGAGCTTTCAACATCTGTCGGCTGCGCTTTAGCGCCGTAATGGCCTAATTAGTAGGCCTATATTTCTTTAGCTATATGTATTTTGAATATGATGCCAGTGATAAAAATAATAATAGTCAAACAGATGTCTGATAAATGTTTGGCAATGATTATAATTTTGTTCTGATCATATAGAGCACTGCAACGGAAGGTTTCTCATCTGTACGTCTTTTCCCGACGTTTCGTCCTTCACCTTAAGGACTTTTTCAAGTGAATGAAATCTCAGACCACGTGTTGTAGATTTATAACCTAATCCTGATGCTAACTCATTAACAAACTAAGGTCTGTTATATAGAGCACTGCCTGTCTCAAATAAATACATACACACACATTACTATTACACTATTATTATTATCTAGATTAATATTTCCCAAGGTAATTTTGGCTGGAAAGAGAAAACAGTCTGGAGATGACGTAAGAAGTAAGACGCATATGGCAGCGCAAATACATTATGGTCCCGAGCTTTTCTAAACTATTTTTTATATTGTTTTTTGTTTTGTTTTTAGAAGAAGGTCCTTTATTCATCCCACAATTGGGAAATTTCAGTTTGATGAATACACATACACATTTACATATCAAGGCAAGCAGCGAACATCAGTTCTGCGCTCCTTATAGGCAACGTGGGTGAAGAGTCTTGCCCAAGGTCACAACAACAGCAGTCATCAGTGCGAGTCGGTGGAGAAGGTCTCGCGGTGGGCTCGAACCCACGACTTTTGGGCTAAATGCTCTACCAACTGAGCCACTGTCGCCCCTAACATTTACATATAGTTACTGAGTCAAATTTAACATAAAGTGATCAAGCTTTTAGGTTATTTCAAAGTTACAAAATAAATACATAGCGGTCAACTGACCGCAAGGGGCGGTGCATGGTTATGTTTAGAGCACGACGGTCCTAGTGTTTATCGTGACTGCCAAATGCTTTCCCCACTGTATGACTGATGCATGTTTCTATATGTTCTATTAACTGCAATCATATACCTGGCTGATGTCCATGCTGGTGTCGCAGGTCAGGGGTCGTGCAGAGGTCAGGTCATTGGATCCTAGGAACGTGGAGATAATCCCGTTCTGATCCACCTTCCGGATTGTGGTCCCATCCACAAAGTAGAGGAGGCCATTCTTATCCACTGCCACACCTGAATCAAAAATGTATACTGAGACAAGAGTATGTATCCTGAGACAAGATTGAGTACGCTGAGACAAGAGTGTGTATGCTGAGACAAGAGTGGGTTTATGATACAAAAGTTTTGATTTATTGAGACAAGAGTGGGTATAATGAGACAAGAGTGGGTATAATGAGACAAGAGTGAGTATACTGAGACAAGAGTGAGTATCCTGAGACACAGTGACGTACGGTGAGGTTGGTGATTGGTAAGGCCCTGACCCCAATCAGATAAACATATATATCACATGAATCAACAGCACCTACAGAGCGGATTATTCACAATTTGTTTCGCTACAGCACAATATGTTTCCTGTCTGCATTGTTTGCTCATACAAACGCAAAAGCATGTAAGAAGCACATTTTCAAATGGGCCTTACCTTATAAATGAACTGCACAGACCACTTCAGTTCAGACCAGTCCAATGAGTTTGAAAAAGTAAAACAAAACGGGTGTCTCCTCCATAAACTCATCTCGTGTTTCCCTAGCTGTCAGACACTCGTGTGCATCAAATTTCTAAAATCAACCTTCTTACCCTTCACATCTCTTTCTTATATTCCTATCGGCATTTGAAGCATAACATTACCCTAAGTGCATTTTAAATGATCTTAAAATATGTTATATGTATGTTAGCCAAACCTGTTGCTGCCCTTAGCAGATGAAGAACAAGAAAGGAGCTTTTTGATGTAATCGGATGCAGCCAAATTCTGGGCTCACAAGCGCCCCCTACCCTAAGGCTGGCCTCACTTGGTGACATTACAAGCCCTGGTTGAGCACGATTAAAGAAGCTATACCCAATTTTTTTTCTAATGAGTTCATTAAAATGCTTATTACTGAATACAAGTTGTATTATAATCCGTAATTTAATTGATAACTTGAGCTCATTGATTCAGCTGTTTATGAACTCAGGCCGTATAAAAGTAGAGACTAGCAGGCCTCTCATCCTGCTCCACTCACAGAACGAGGCTGCGTCCTCTAGCCTCTACAGCGCTGCTAAAAACAGTAGCATGTTAGCATAAGTGGCTATAACTCCTCTTGCTGTAACTGCAGACACAGCAAAACAGCCCGAACGACACAATAGTGAGGAAGAGAAGAGGGAACTAAAGCGAAAAAATGATCAAAGAAGAAAGCAAGCCCGGATGAACATAGCTAGCTTACATCGTATCCTCTGGAGAGACTTGTCTATGGGAGAGACCTGTGGGAGCGGGACCACCTCGGACTATCTATGCTCGGACCACATTTGGACGCAAAACTAGCGGTAATCTTAATATACTTTGTTAGAGGTGTGTTGCTTTTGTACCATTTCATCAGTGATTGTTGTACAGCTTAAGTTGCGCTAATGCTAATGTTAGCATCATATTGCAAATACAACTAGGGGGCTCCGCTTAGTGGAAATGAGAAGCCTCTGAGCGAGTTGGGAGGCGGTGCTACACAAGCAAACCTTGCAGAAACGGGTATAGCTCCCATATTGGTTGTCAAAAACACAATTTATGACCCATCCCCACGCTGTTTACAGATGCTGTCATCTCTTTCCATATTTTCTTTTTCGAGCCCCTTGATGCCACTTTTGAGGATTCCAAATAGAAAGACTTTATTTTTTCCCCACTTTGTTCATAATGGTCTCAACCTTCTTCTCCGTGAAGTTTTGTTGTTGTGCTGTTTCTTCTCAATTGTCGTAATAACGGGGAGTGTGGCTGCATATTTCTAGGTGTGACTTTCATAAATACGTTTGTTTTCATCCGCAGCATTTATCAACAGCCGCTGTGCGTACGCTCAGTTCTGTGCGTATCTCGCGCGTTCACAAATCCGGCATTGGCTCGTGCGTATTTGGAATATACACCCAAAATATACACCCTTTATGAAAAATGTTCATAAATGAGAGGACAGTGTGTATACTGAGACAAAAATGTGTGAGACAAAAGTGTGTTTACTGAGAGAACAGTGTATACTGAGACAAGAGTGTGTATACTCAGTGTGAATGGACATTTAACTATGCAGGTAATGGTAACAATAGTATAAGGTGAAGATTGCTAAGGCAGGGGTCAGTGATGGTGGGGTTCAGGAGTCCGACTGCAGAGGGGAAGAAACTATTCTTATAGTGGGAGGTTCTGGTCCATATGAAGTTGTTGGAATAGTCCATGTGCAGGGTGAGAGGCGTCAGCAGTAATACAACCAGCCCGCTATTGAGCTTGGGCATCATACAGGTCCTGGATCGATTGGAGGGTAGGACGGCACCAACATCTGTGTAATTAGGTCTGTTAACTCAAGTTTTAGTATCTATAGTATGTATATGTTTATTGTCATACCAGAGCGATTTTATGATGACGAGTCAACAGTGAATGAATGTTGTCACCAGTTAAAACAGTTGTCTTTTGGCAGTTGGCTTTGTTTCGTTCAACCAGCTGTTGGTTAAGCGTTATATTACAACACAAAAAGCGGCATCTTCCATTGCGGACTATAAGTGGCATTTATTTTCTTTTAAAATTTAGGTGGTGGGGTTTATATCCAGATGGCCTTTATAGACCTCCAAGTACTGTATAGATTTAAGCACAGCAGAGTGAAAGTAGGGGTTATTTATGCTGAATGAAACCCTGGTCTGTTTTTGATGAGGGAGTAGAAAAAATAATATCTATACTTTAACATGAGCACCATTATTCTTCCACCTGTGACGTGGTGGTGGCCTCTGTGCTCTCAGGGCACGGTGGATACATGTGTCGAGCTTGCCTCCCCATTATTCAGGTCATTGCAAAAAGCACATCCATCAATAATTCACATGCTGCTTTCCTGCTATTGAATAATTTCTCATGCAGAAGTGGGAAAGGCTGTATTCATAGTGCATGTGTATGCTCTAAAAACAGGGCCTCGTGTCAATGGGTTGAGTAGGCATGGGACGATATTCAAATGTGTCACAATGTGCACATTATGACATCATCTTGGAAAATTAGAATATCATACAAAAGTGAATTTACTTCTTTAACTTTTTGTTTAACTTGCAAAAAAAGTCAAAGTTAAATCAAGCCTTTGTTTGTTCTGATGTTGATAATCGGCTCACAGCTTGTATAAACTACAAATGAAACAATAGCATTATAATTTTTCTAATAAAACCTGTTTATTTTATGCAAACAATATTCCACATTCTAAACGTGTAGAGGTACATATTCTCAAGATCTTCTTTAAGGAACACAGGTATATAATTTTATTCAACTCAAACATGTTTAGTTTAGGAACTAATATGGTCAAAGATTGTGTACATTTGCTCAGTGCAAAAAAACATAAAACTAAAGTCTAATAGTAAGTAAGTAACATGTGGCCGCAGATATTGTTATGATTCTCAAATCATTAATGACAAAACAAGGAATGAAACAAGGACTTCTTTCAGGAATATCTTTGTGAAAAAGGTGTTGGTTATAGATTGTAGTTGTTGACAAAACTCTTGTATATTCAGATATTATGGTCCCAGCTCGATTTGTCTCCATATCTGGCAACCTGAGTCCGGAAGCGTGGGAGAGGTTGCAGTACCACTTTTGTCCAGTTGTTTGTCCATTTTGCTCCTTTAAAAAAATGATAACACTATTTGATTACATTGAGATTTTCTGCTGTCAAAGGATGGTCTAGGAACAGGGAAACACAGATGAGTCTGTTTTGCTTTTTGGACTAATGGCAGTTCTATTTGTTTTAGGGTTTGATTTTCTAACTGCCTGGTTTTCGTTTTTGGTCGAAAATGAATAGATTTGATTTCCATCATATGTATCTTGACTTTTGAAAGCTGATTGGTGAAATGTCTTCCTTTGGTTGTTGTTAAATAATCATACTTTGAATTCACTTAAAAGCTATTTCTGATGACGAATTCTTGGTACAAGTCACATTTAGACACTTCCTAACTCACAAGGACAAGTCTCTACAGTCTGAGAGAATGTTCTGCGTCTGAGTCAGCTCTTATCGCTCAAGTAAGATTTCATTTTTCAATAAAGACTTTAAAAGCCTGTATAGAAGGTGAGTGCTTTGGTTTGACCTGTGGCTTGGTCTGAACTACTTTAGCTTTCTGCTAAAACATTGACGAGCTGAGGGAGCCTCTGGTGGATCCTGAGAGCGGACTATTTGACAGTCCGAGGTTCTCCGACAGATGAAAAGTGTCACATTTGAGCAGAGTTCACCAAATGTCTGAGAGGAGAGAAAACGGAGCCATCTGGTGTTGCTTCCACCCACTCCATCATTAGAGTCTCTCCCTCACACTGCCTTCACTCGAGCCTTTATCACCATTTGAAGCTTGCCTATTGCGCTTGGCATTCACACTGGCCTACAACTAGTGCAAAACAATTCATCTTTGCCTTCTTCATCTCTCAGACTTTGGATAAGAGAGCAATTCCGCCTGCAGCAGGTTGTGCACAGCCCACATCACATTCTCAAAAGCACCAAGTTTGACATATCAAAGGGCACTTGAATCTGATTGTCTGTTTTGAGTCCGAAATCACAACATCTTCCAGAGCAGCTGCATATTTGGATGTAATTATAGCACTGCCGACATTCTCTCTTCTTGTACCCTTGACCCACACCCCGATTGCAACACAGGTAGTCATCAGAAAGCCTTTTGTCCATAAATTGACCTCTCCTCCTCTACCAGTCAGGTCCAGACCCCTCCAAATCATACACATGCACAAAGCAAATATCTGTCATAACTTGTCCTGCTGAGCAATATTTTGAAATCACCTTTTCTTGTCCTTGTTTCAAGATTTACTTCCTGGCCTTGATTACTGCCCCACTCTTGATATGTCTCACGTGTGTCCTTGTGTGTTTAGTTTTAGTTTATGTGCTCCCTGCGTCATGTGCAAGATTGTCTTGTTTCCTTGTGTTCTTGCATCTAGCTATAGGAGGATCTTTGAGTGATGTTGTTGTTTATAGTTAGACTGGGTGGCAAAACAGCAGCGAAAGCTCCCTGGATGCTAGAGAGATAGCTAGATTTAGACATTTGGAGAGAGGTTTTACCTAATCAAATTGTCCACTCTTGTTGTGTGGTTGGTTGTACGGTCTGCTGGGTCCAGATAAAGGTTTGAATTCCTTTGTAAAAGAACAGCAAAAAACGCAAGAAACGGTTGCCGGCAATCAGGAGAATGAACGCTTAGAAGTAACACAGTGAGTGATGATTTCTCTATTCTCCTTTGTAATCACCCACGGCAGATGTGAATATTGGGTGTCTCCACCTGGTCTAACCTCATCTTTCCACACAATCACACACTTCTGTTTCACAGAGAAAAAATGGCCCAACCTTTCTAGAAACAAATAATCATAGGCCTCCAGACTTTTTAAGGCCTTTAACTTTTTTTGTGTGAAGGGTCCCAGGTTTTCTATGAAGTAAGAATAAATGTCTCGCAGCTCAGTGCCAAGACAGAGGCGAGTCTGACCAACCTCTCGTACACTTGTTTTTAGCTTATAATATCTTCTCCAATCTTCTTGTGTTAGTGCTTACATATAGTGCATTTCTCCCACTAAGTCTTTTGAAAGTACTCATCGCATCCATGCTTTTGTATGTGCTGCTTTGTCTTCTTGCCACCCAGCGAGTGGTGCATGCGGATGTAAACAAAGATCCTCCTATTGTTTTGTGATTTTCCTGATTTGTCTATTAAAACTCCTAAACTGCCTTTTGACATATGTTTTTGAGCCACTTATGTACAAGCCTGACAATATCATCCCAAAGGTCTGTGAACACTGAAGAATAACCGTCACTTCTACATAAAACCACAAGGATAAACACGGCTTGGGTGCCTAACTTTCCAAATAAAAATATTTGGAACACATTGTTTGTCCAATGTATGCAGAATTCAAAAGGGTTCATAGACATGGCCTATAATGTTATAATGTAACACTTAAAACCAACAGCTAATGGAAATCATGCAGCCTAAACCCATAAGAACCACGTACCATAGGTCAAACGGCTCCTGAGGCCTTTGTGGCAGAGAGGAATGTGTCAAGCAGAGGACAGACCGCCCAACGGGTATGAATAAAGTGTCCCTTAATGTGATTGCCAATTCACTTTTAACCTTAACAGTGTCCTCTATCACAAACATAATGAATCTACGTTAAACTTGACTTTGTTTGCCCATATCTTGAATTATTGTGGTGATGGTTTTCATACAGTTTGTCCTTAGCTGTACCTTTGGGCCCGGTGAGGGGGGCCTCCGGAGCCTTGCCCCCATCCCCACAGTGGTTCTCGTCGAAGGGCAGGCAGTGCTCTCCGGTCCCTGCCACCACCTCTGCGTTGGCCTGGATGTCCTTGGTCAGGCTCAGGGTCTTGGGTCTGTAGATCCTCCTGGAGTTGGTGTCAGACACGTATAGCTGGCCGCTGACTGGGTCTGTGGCCAGGTAGTACCGGTGTGCTGGGTTATTACTGCCAGGAGGACACAAAGGAAGAGGAGTGTGTACAGAACACAAAACATGAAGTACTGCGTTCATTTCTGAAGAAGATAATGTTGTAACATAGTTCAAGTTTCAAACAGACTGTTTCGCCTTGATCACATCCTTCATCACAAATCTGCAGTTTTACAAGCCAAAGTAGAAGTGGAGGTCTCATTTTCTTTTATCATAATAATGTGTGAATTTGATGAATGTTGCTCATAATATTTTCAGGCAGTTTTAAGAAAACCAAACGACGCAATAAAAGCAGGTGCTCCAAAACTCCTAATAACTTGCTCTGCCGCTTATCTGTAAATAAATTAAGCTGTCTTATTAGCTCTTGTGGCTAATTGCAGTGATTAAAGTGTAATTTTCAAAAACAACCTTGAATTATTAGCAGACTCTAGTTTCTCCAAGCACAGCCCAGTTAGTAGAATCCTAATTATCGTCTTTTTACTGCACACGCAGATACAGTCTATTTATACTCCTGTGTGAAACTGTTAGGTTTATATAAGACAATAGACTGAAGGAAACTCATGAAGAGCTGTAAATCAAAAATTACTGCTGGGGACAATAATACTGCCTTTGTCAAGTAGCCTATAGAAGCATAATGGAAAGTTTATGGACGCTGCTGTAACTACTAACGGTTTAAACGAGTTACATTGGTTGCAATGGAATATGCATGATGATGGAAGACAATACTTCTACAGGATTTGAAATCCCCTTTAGGGATAAATAAAGTATCTATCCATCTATAACAACATGTATGTTATGATGACGGAACTATTATGCAAAATTATGTGTATCCTTGAATGCCAACAGATAGATAGATACTTTATTGATCCCTCGTAAGAGAAATTCAGGTGTCCAGCAGCAGAAGACTCATACAGCTCTGTTGTACAGTCTGACAGCCGAAGGAACAAAGAACCTCTTTAAACGTTCCGTTCGTAGCGCAGTGATATAAGCCTGTTGCTAAGATTACTCCTCTGAGCGGTCATAGTGTCATGCAGAGGGTGTCTGGAGATACCCAGGATGCCCTGCATTAGAGCTCTCATCTTTCTCTCCAGCACAGTACCCACAGAGTCCACACTTCTCCCCATCACAGAAACACATTTCCTGGCCAGTCCAGTTTGTGGTCCAGGTGGACTCCACGGTGTTTCCAAGGCATCTAAAATAGATTTATTTATACATCCTTGGTCTTATGATGTAGTTTGAGTGCATATCTGATTAAAAAAGCGGACATTATGGTCAGTGCCACTACATTTAAATCCAGTGGTTGGCCAAGAAGACCGCTAGTGATTCGGGCCGCGGCCTATACGTCAAAAGGCCACCTCCTGGAGTAGTGGTCCCCAACCTCCGGTCCGCGGACCGATACCGGGCCATGGGACATTCAAATCGGGCCACAAAGGAAAGAATAAATTATTTTCATAATTATTTTCCGAGTTAAAAGACTCCTTTATTTTGAAAGAAATTGATTATCTCCTTAACGTCTATGTCACATGACACAGTAGCGCTGAAATGTAAACAAATGTCCTAGTTTGGTTTGCGAGGGGATGCCAGTCCGTGCAATTGTTACACGGGTCTGTGGCACAAAAAAGGTTGGAAATCGCTGATATAGAGCTAAGTGTGAGTAGGGGTCACTAAAAACAAACTTTTGAAAGTTCCCTCAATCTGGTGTTACTCAGAAGGATCAACATTTAAAAGTCATCATGATAGTTATTGGGAGAGCTCAACATACTCTCAAAATACTAGTACTATTTTCTTGTTAGTTATTTTGTGGGAGCTCTATCATGGGGCTGTTGTAAGAGTTTTCCTTCTGATGTGTTTTGAACAAGAGAGGCAACAGCAAGCATACTTTATACACTTTAATAGATTTTTGAGGGTTTTTGAACTTTTTATGTCAATCCATAGCCTTAAATTGGAGAGAAAAAATCAGAGAACAAAAATGCAGAATAGCTTTCCCTCCACCCCAGTCATAAACACGCTGCCAGTCAATAGAGGTGGCCAGTGCGAGGATAATGTGGCAGCAAAGTAAATGTGGCCATGAGATGTCTTTATGAAAGATGAAGAAGGGGCCATGAAAACTGACATAATATCTGACTAATATCTGTCAGGGCAAACACTCAATGCAAGCTTGTTTGTCTCGTCGCACCAACATGCAAACACCTGCTTTGTCAGACCAAGTTCCATTATTGAAGCCTGCAAGGAAAATAGAATAATTAAATTCATCCGAAGAGAAGCTGTTGTGTGTATTGTTGTAAATGCATGAATAGGGTTAGCAACATAAATGAGCTCAGACGTTGGGACGCAAATGCACTCTTTATTCTGTGTTTATACTGCGTTTGGCATCTGGGTGGAATGTTGCTCCTTTCTCCCACTTTTCCAATGGAATTAGCGCAACAGAGCACCTACATCTCACATAGGACGGCAATAGTTAGCACTCTCGCTTCTCAGCAAGAAGCGAGAGTGCTAACCAATCGAGATTAGTTCAAATCTGGACCTTTCTGAGTGGAGGTTTCATGTTCTCTTTGTGTCTGCATAGTCCTCAATTTTCCCCCACCACAAAAAACATGTACAATAGGTAAAGTCCTCTATCTCCTCAAGATTGTCCTGACCAAGCTGAGGATCAGCTCAACGGCGCTGTATTAAGGCAACCACTGCTCCTCGTGACAATTAGGACGGGTAAAATGAAGAGGACAAATTCTTTACAGGGATAATAAACTTTACCTTAACCTTGTACACATGATGTCTTATTGAGGTAAAAGTGTCGCGGTCAGGGTCATTGCACAGGATTATTCCCGTGTTTGGAGCTGGATGAGTCACAGCAGAGAGCGCTGTGATAACGTCAGTCCTCAGGGCAGATCTATGAATGCGTTGCTTTGATCAGTACACATCAAGAGAATCCCTGTGCGGTTTATTTCCACTTAGAGCTTCCCCGATGTGACCCAATAGCAGGTGTGCGCGCAGGTGTCCCTATACATCTTTACATTAAACAATTACATGAGATCACAGGCCCATCACCCAGGCGCTTGGAGCCAGCTGATCCAGACAGCAGCAGCCATTATGGGCCCTACCATCTGGGAACATTAGCGACCAGCTTTGTTCTATACCTATGTGTCTGATTGAGCCATTTACAACTATTATAGGCAAATGAACAGCCCAAAGGGAAAGTTTATCACATGCCGAATGTCCTTCTCTCAGTCGCCCGTATATCAGAGAACTTCTGTTATAGAATTTCTGGACACTCAATGGAATTTGATTGGGAGTCGTAATTGATTACCGATGATGGTAAATCCCATCACCAGTAACAAGTGAGATACCAAGGCTGCCAGTAACACATCCACATTTCTTTTTCCTCTGGTTCTGACCATATACTGTATATAGATGGACATTTTTGAGCCTCTACCATTAGGGAAGTGCAAGTTTTGATCCAACTCGCTCTGGTTTATAATGACTCTCATAAAAAAGTGATCTTCTTTGTAAATCCAGATCCAGATATGTGCCCTAACAACTGACCGATCGAGGGCTTTCTGTTTCCGAATTCAGCTTGAGGTAATGAGAAGAACAAGAGATGGCGAACCATCTACCAACAACATTCTCACCCTAATAGCCTTTTTGAGCTAGCTCTAATTGGCCTTTTCCGCATTAAGACAAACACTATGGTGACGTCAGCTTACACTGGCCTCCGCAGTGATGCAGGTGTGGCCAGTGCTGCACTTTACAAATGCTCTTCATGCCGATCACAGTCGATAACTGAATCATGCTGTACTTATTATTCCACATTAAGCGCCGGCCGTGTTCCCGCTGGTTTAGTGTCTCCTGGATTGTCAGTTTATCTTGGCCTGATCTAATGGCACCTTATTCATGAATACAAAAGAGCTGAGTAAGCACCGGAGGGACGTCACATCTGCCACGCGTCATAATGGAGATGTGATTATGTTCCAGACAATGGCCCTGAAGAGGCAGAGGATGCACTGCACAAAGCATCAATACTATGTTCAGATTTTCTCACCAATGCAGTCACACTCTGAAATTGAACTTATTCTGAACTAACATATACTCAACTCTGTATTGATTTCGGCCCTTACACTCTATGTCAAGTATATTTACTTTGGCATTCCATAATTTAACATTTTAAATGATAATTTCCACAGCAGAAAATGTATGGATAGATGAAAAATGAGCTAAACACTCCCATGAAGTCATTGAAGTGTGGAATTATCGGCTTTCCTTTTTTAAATTAAGCATCACATTAGCTCAGTCTAACTGAAATTAAACAGTTGTAAAGATTGGCCATTTGAGAAAAATCCCTTAAATGATTTAGAGGCAAAAAGTGTGTAATGAGTTTTGAAACTGGGCTTTTGAACAGAAAGGGTGTGTTTGTATCAGAAGAGACTGAGATTAGTGTGTAGATATTTATTTATTTATTTATTTATTTATTTATTTGGAGGATAAGCCCCTAGAGATGAAACATCTCGTTTTCGAGGGGGTCCTCAAAAAGGTAACAGAGGTGACAGATACAATGCAATACAATAAAGTAAACAATAAAGACAAAGGACAAAAAGCAACAATAAACAATACTCACACAAAACAAACTCACACACACACACTCTCACACACACACACACACACACACACACACACATGACTGTTGAAAATATATTTGATGCAGACAATAAATAGTGAAAATACTAAACTTATTAATATTAAAGGCAGTAAACATAGGATTATGTAACCCAAAATCAAAAACAATGACACTGATTTTGGAGATTTCGCACAAGAGCATTCTTAAACTGAGCCAGAGAACTGAGAGAGCGAACAGATGAGGGCAAACTGTTCCAATCAGACGGTGCTTTAAATTTAAATGCATGTTTCCCGACTTCTTTTTTCAATCTTGGGACTGAAAAAAAGGACTGATTTGCATGACGCAAACTGTAGGAGGATTGAAAAGGAATCAAATATTGTTTTAAATAGTCAGGAAAACTAAGATTAATGCATTTAAAAATAAATAATAGCCAATGTAGCTGACGTCTGGAGGACAGAGAGAGCCAGGAAAGCTGCTCGTACAGAAGGCAGTGGTGCGTTCTAAAGGGACAACGGAGAATGAACCTGCACAGGCTGTGGTAGGTGACGTTCAGGGGCTGGAGGACAGAGGCAGTAGTGTTTTGATAAATTATATCACTGTAATCAAGAATAGGTAAAATCAGTTGACAAATGATCCTCTTCCTAACAGATAAACCAAAACAGTTCAATGAATGGTAAAGTACTTTTAGTCTATATGAAATTTTGTTTGTGATTGTTTGTATATGAATGTTAAATGATAGAGAAGGATCAAGCCACAAACCAAGATATTTAAATTTATCAACGACTGGAACTGGACACATGTCTGAAAAAGTAAGCTGAATTTTGTTAGAGAAAATAGGATGCATTTTTTTCTGAAACAACATGACAACTGTTTTTGATTTGTTCAGTAATAATTTGTTAGATTTTAGCCAGTGTTGAACAGAATTAAAGTCATGTTGGATAGATTGTTGAATATTGATGATGTTATCATTGGATGTGTAAATCACTGTATCATCTGCATAAAGTTGAATGCTACAGTCTGTACAGGCAAGGGGAAGGTCATTAATAAAAATGGAGAAAAGAAGTGTACCCAGTGACGAACCTTGTGGCACACCTCTCTCGATAAAAGAAAAACCAGAGTAGCTACCATTGTAAAAGACACACTGTTGACGGTGATGTAGATAGGAATTGAACCAGAGGAGTGAGGATCTGTCCAGACCAATACAGTGAAGTTTGTCTAAAAGAAGATAATGGTCAACCATATCAAAGGCTTTTGATAAGTCTATAAATAAAGCACCAGTAAAAAAAGAGTTGTCAAAACCAGAAAAAATGTCATTAGAAAACTTTAGTAATGAAGATGTTGTTGAAAAATGTTTCCTGAAGCCAGATTGGAGTGGAGATAGAAGATTTTTAGATGATATATGTTCAGATAATTGATTAAAAACTATTTTTTCATATACTTTTACAATGCTATTGATTATTGAGATGGGCCTATAGTTGTTCATGTCACTGATGTCACCACCTTTGTGAAGGGGGATGACTTTTGCACGTTTCCAGGTAGAGGGAACTTCACAAGAGCTGAATGAAAGGTTGAATAGATCTGCCAGAGGAAAGCACAGAACATGAGAGGCCATTTTAATGTACCTTGTCTCTATGCCATCAGGACCGGCACTGCCCAGAGACAGCCCGTTTAGTATGCATTCTACTGCAGCTGGACTCACTGGTCTAAAAGAGAAACTGCTGCCACAAGGAACGGCACTGGGTGGAGTGGAGGAGTGAGGAGGAGATTGGACATGAGGCAAATGAGAAAAATGATGATTAAAGGCATTGGCAATGGAGTATGGAGCATAACACAATGTTGTATTAAAGATGATCACACATCACTTCCAATGACACCGGCCAAAATTGTGATGGAAAAAACTGAGGTCTTGAATTCAGGATTTTACATAAGCAGTTTATGACATCACAACTTTTTCCCGAGTTGACAAACTGTACAAAATCCTCAGATATAATGACCACCATCACAATGATGCCTTCGCAATATTGGACAGAGGGGACATACAATTATCTTATCAACAAACTTAACTTAAACAGAAGTCTCACCTGTCTGAAAATATGTGTTTTCTGCAGGGCTACCCCAGTATTCTACTGTCTTTCACATTTTCTCAGCATTATTTAGTATATATTTTTGTAAGATGTCAAGTTAGCTGTTAACCGGCTACAACTACAGACTCTGTGCATGTGCGACCCCATACTTACTGCATTATGGTTTTGCATTATATTATCAGTTCTTTCCAATGACTGAAGAAGTCTTACAGCTGAATGTCTTCACTATTCTATCTAAATGTATGAACTTTGACAACTTGTTGGAACCCCATAACGTTGAAGTACATGTACTGCATGTCCATAACATGATGACGAAGACACAAAAGGTGAACACATGGATTCTTTACAGAGCACCCACCTGTGTCTGAAGTCCTTATTTCTTTGGAGTGGAGCAGGAGAGCAGATGGTAAAGGAGCAGAGGGAAAAGAGGCAGAGAAACTTAGTTAGAAGCAATAAACCACACACAACTACATTTATTCTTTGTTTTCAAAGCGAACATCAATTCCTGGAAGATCAGGACACAGAGCACAGGTGACCCTAACACCCTGACCTGTGGTCGAAATGAGGGTTTGCCGGTGTAAAGAATTGGATTGAGAACGGAACTAGAATACAATAGTATCATCTATGAGAAACTCAATTGTCCATTTCCAGTCCCAAGTGTTGTTCATGTATATCTCTTTGGAGAGGTTGCTGTTGACGGAGCTATAAATCAGGAGTTTAAAAACTTCTTAATATGATGGCCATTTTAGTCAAGCAGATATGCCCCTGTGCTGGTAAAACGGTTTTGACTGGATTCAGGTTGTTCTGGGCTAATATTACGGGCAAGTCCCTCCTTCCCTTCTCTTAGCCATAGTTCAGAATCCAAGATGCTGTCGAGGTTAACCAATCGAGTCATGCCAAGGGCTGTCAATCATCGGCGCTGATTCTCACAGCTGCGCGCATGCTCAGTTGTTTGTTGTTGTTGTTGAGCCTCTGAATCAAGCCTCTATTAGGCTCTGGAACTACATGAAAACTGAACAAAGAATTCTGAACATCCGCGCTGAGGTACTCATGTATATACTGAACCTATATCCATAATCAGATCCTCTGCAGATGTGTCCTATAATGTGCAATTCATGATAATAGCTTCTTCCGGGTTTGCCGCGATCGCTTTTTTTGTGCATAAAGTGTGTGTATTAACAAAATATATGTATAATTTGTTCTCTGATAAACATTTAAAAGTGTTACGGAAACGTGGGCGTAGACCAATCAGAAAGGAAGGGGGAGGGAGCTTGCGTGGTTTTTTTCAAATCAAGTACCTCTCTCTCTTTTTTTCTGACAAACTCCAGACAATCACTTTAATGTGTAAATAAAACATAAGGATATGTAAATCATCCCCATCTAGTGTTAGAAGTTCATGAGTTTGACCACCTGTCACCTCTGGGAGAATGGCGACAGCATGACTGCACTAAAGGGGATCCTTTTAATACAGGGGTGTCAAACCCATTTTGGTCGAGGGCTAAATTTAAAAACATAAGAGCTGGTTTGAACCAGAAGTATAAAATTGTATTTTTTGATAATATTTCTTTGTATTTATGTATTTTAACATATTTCTGTCTACTGATAAATGAACTGTATTTAACACGATTAAAGGAGCTATACCCGTTTCTGCAAGGTTTGAATGTTTAGCACCGCCCCCCAACTCGCACAATGGCTTCTCATTTCCCCTACGCTCTCATAACACAAGAGCATCTAGCTCAATTTGCGATCTGATATGTATGCTAACATTAGCATTAGCACAACTTCTTGTAAGCTGTACAACAATCACTGATGAAATTGTACTAAAGCAACGCACTACTAACACAATATATAGGTAAAAGAATACTGCTAGTTTCGCATCCAAATTTATTCATTAAAACATGTTTATTTATTTTTATTTTATTTATTTATTATATTTGAGTAATTAATTATAATTTATTATACAGCTCCTCACAGCAACAGTAGAACACTCCATTGACTTGAATGTAATTCTACCGATCATTTTTTCTTGAAAACAGAACTCTCAAACCAATAATGACCGCTGCCCTTTGGCAACGCAATCTCTGTTTGTAATTCAGGTGTGTAAAATGCTAACATTACTCCGCAAGTACAACGAGAGAAGCTAGCCGAGCTATCCACGCTCAATAAACAAATACATATCAATCAATCAACACCATTAAACGTTAATCGGACAATACAGTACACATATACATCCTTAGCACACATGCACGGACGATTTCAGAATTTGCTGTCAACGTTTTCATGACAAATATACTGTTTTAAAGTGACAAAAAGAGTTACCATGAAACAGCTAGCTAGCTTAGCTGTTACCTGCCTAGCACGTCCCGGTGAAACCTTTGGGAGCTAACTATTTTATTTGCAGTCATTAAATACATTTCGAATTATAAGGGCTGTCTAATATTTGTTCGAATATATATAATTTTTTTATTTTAGAATTATATTCGAATTTTGAAGTAGAAGCCCTAGTGTTAAGCAGCGTTGTAGAGGCTAGAGGACGCAGGCTGTTCTCTGCTTGTTCTGTGAGCGGAGGAGAACGAGCGTCCCGCAAAGACTCCACTCAGCACTTTTCACGGCATAAATTTCATACACAGCTGCTTCAATGACCTCAAGTTTTCAACTAAATTATGTATTATGATACAACTTGTATGTAGTAAAAAGCATTTTTATGAACTACTTAGAAAAAAAATCGGGTATAGCTTCTTTAATATGATATTTTAGTAGGTTTGGATTAAACCACAACAGGGCCAAATATCAAGAAGAGATAGCTGAATATAAAAAAACAATAAATAATAAAATTTCCCCTAACTTCTATTTACATTTCAGGTAACCTTTTAGAACAGATTTAATTGTATGGTTGTTTTCCTGAGATAATAGGCGTTAAAATTAAGTATAACATGCAATAGTAATTACTGTAGTTATAAGTTACTGTTACTGTTAATAAAGATTATTGAACATTATTTCAGGGGCGTCAAAAAATTCTCCCACAGGCCGGATTCGGCCCACGGACTTGAGTTTGACATGGCTGTTCTAATAGACAATAAACCTGTGCTATCATGTCAAATACGTTATTGCATATATTCCCCTGACATCAGCTTCACTAACGGGTAAATATTCCCTGTTACAATTTGAAAAGTTGCGGGCACTCACTTTAAGTCACCGGACAGTTTTGGTCCTGTGTGAGTGTTTCTCTCAAAGGTAGTTCATCACAGTAGTTTCTGTCGCCTACATTCTCACTACTGTGGAGCGAAAGCTGCAACATGTAACTCCTCTGAGTTTATAATGATAAGGCCAACCATAAGGTAAGGTTGGCCTTATCATTATAAACAGTGTGACACACAGTGTTCAGGTCAGATAAATATACAGTATATGCATGTCTTTTGACTCTGCAGCAGTGCTCAAATCTAAAACAGGTTTGTCCTTGTATATATCGTATATTAACAGATGTTAAGTTAATATTGTGAGAAAAAACATATCTTATTATTTTCAGATTATTACTTTAACGTTATTTTCATATATTTTTATTTTTTTTGTGTGAAATGCTATGCGAGCTACCATGACAACGCAATTTCCCTTGTGGATCAATAAAGTCTGTCTAAGTCTAAGTCTATATCTCAACAGTTGGGAGTTTGGGTAGTTAGACAAGCGTATAAAGAGTCTGATGAGGGGGTTTTACAGCCTTAAAACATATAATGCTACTTTGTGGATTTTGATGCACAGTTAACACCCGCAAGAAACGAGGAACCACTGAAATGGTTTAATCTAAGAGTATTTCCTCAGGTGGTCATTGTTGTACACCTGTGCTGCCCCATGACCGGCCGCACATACAGTCCACATCTGGTACTCTGAAAACAGCCAAACAGCCTAAACGCAGCATTCTAATGGGTGCCAGATTGGCACAAGGGCATAACTCATCCCAATTACAGCTGCACACAGGATGTCTGTGCTAATTATGGAGACAGATAGGTAAAAGATTTCACATTTGAATGGCTGGAGGACAGACTGATGTCACTACACTGAACACTGACAAGTTTTACTCTCCTCATCACTCATACTTTGACTAATTGCATTTAGATTATCAACAGAAAATGCTCTGATTTTTCATTTTTATTAAGCTGCAATATTTTCTTTTCTTTCCCCATAAACAGTAGTGTAAACTCACCATGTGTCTTACAGTAAAATGTAGCGATTAGTTCAGCTGCAGACTGTTATGTGACGCTGTCCTGGTTTAACCCCACTCTGGTCCTCACGAAGACCTCACTGTGGTCAATTCTTGTTCCAGTTCTGGTCAAGTCCCAGTTTAGTCCTGGTCTAATCCTAGTTACTGTAAGTCCTCTTTGTATGGGTCAGTTTTTAACTCTGTGCAAGCCACCCTTATACCACACATCTCAGAGATGGTAATCTGTGAACATGATCAAAACTATTTGACTTTCAAATCTCATCTACATTCCACACAGTTGAATCTACACAAAGTAAAATTGGAACATCTCCTTTGTTACCTTCTCTCTGCTGTTAGGATTGAGTGGTGTATTTCGAGGGGAGAAGGGATTTACTTTCTTTTGATATAACAGATTATCAGCACAGAGACCAGTGACCCGTGGTGAACCCTACACGCCCGTACCGGAGCTCCATGATGCTGGTCACGTTGCCAGATGGATAGATGCGGCGGATGTAGTTGAAGTCTCCCACATAGAGGCTTCCGTCGATGCCCCAGGCCAGAGCCACCGGGGCCAGCAGCTTGTTGCCCAGAGCCTGACCGTTACAACTGGGACATGAGATGCTCCGGCGACGCCCATTTCCCATCACCGTGGAGATGACAGGAGGCTGCAGCGAGATGAACTGGTTCTCCCCACTGCCTTTGTATAGAATACCTGGGAACACACAAAACAAGGCATTAGGCGTTAATGTACATGCCTAAAGCAACACAAAGTATGTCACAGAAGGCCAGTCCATGTGCCTCTCAGAGCTCAAGCAGGAGGCCGGTCCCTGTGAGTCAAAGACATGAGACCAGGCCAAATGTGAGAAGGCTTAATGATTCTAGTCAGGATTTGAGCTTTTTTCAATAAAAATAGGACTAGTGAAACATTCTGCAACAAGGCATTTATGCAGAAAATCTCACCGAACGTATTATGCAGAGAGATTAACATTTACCTTTTTAGCAATTTTCTCGTTTTTTTTGGATCAGTCAGCCATAATTAGAATACAAGTTACAAGAACAATGAAGCTCATGTGGAGGGTCCCAAGCAGGCCATTGCAGAAGTCATCACGGGTTAGTGAATTTCCTTAATTAATAAAGTATTTATCTGCAAGGATAAGTCTCCAAGGATGTAATTCTTATTTGGAGATGGTAAAACACTACGTTGGACAGAAACAACATTCATGTTAAAGTAACTCTGTATAATTCAATAAAAAGCAACAAATATAATGTTTCTGTTTCCAGTGGCTACCGCCGCAACGTTCCAGCGCTCTCCTAAAAAGATGCCTTGAACAAATACGGTGACTCATCGCAGATAAGGGCTGTGCGCGCGGCCGCAGATACAGAAGGATATTTTTTCTGTTTTGTAAGGGGGTTAGCGCTCTTCAAAGGCAGACACATCAAAGCCAGCCGTGCGCGCCGCCAGCTCTTCATTATTCACGCACAGACGCTGGATCCAATGCTCTGCCCTAATTAGACAGTCTGTGACACCACAACACCAACGGTCCCCGAGCACCGGCCGACCGCTGGCCTCACAAACTATGTTTGTATTTACCACGTGTGTGAGGCGCTGTGCAACATGTGGCAGTATGGGATGCGAATTGCGTGTTGTCACATTACTGACACACAGGGACATCTAAAACAGGTGATGTGGTCAGAGCTCAGCGGCGAAGGCCTGGTTAGAGTTGTGGTGATATGTTGTCAAGGTTACGTGCACATATGAGCCCAACTGTATATCTTCGAATAAAAATCCATTAATTAGCGCATGTTTGACTGAAATTAAAGACCTTATGACGGGTTTAAAAAAAAAAAAAATAGTGGATATCAAAATTGCATGACAATGTCAATTTGAAAGAGATTCCGGCAAAAAAAAATCCTATATTTTATAAAAAGAACGGGTTTTTCATGAATGTAAGTTGTCTATGCTCTAACCTTGTGTGACGTCATAGCGGGTTACGCCCATGCATTGAAAACCATGGATCTATGCCACAGGACTGCCTTTTCTCTCTTCTCTCCACTGATGCCCAACACAATACTGCCCTCTACAGGTGACAATTGCTCACTACACATAAATTGCCGTTTTGAGTGTGAAAAAGTGTCCGAGGTGGGAATTGAACCCAAGTGTTGTGTGTTGTGATAATAAGAGAACTCAGAGAAAGGGTCAACTTTGAGTTTAATAACACACCGGCAGTAGGAACACACTCTGGTATATCTCGGTGCTCTCATAGCTAATTCGCCTCTAGCCCCCACCACTGCGCATGTGTAGACACGAGTATGGTAGCTGTGATAGGTCACACTAGCAGCACTCTACATCCCCTTTCTTAAGTCAAGTCCTCTAAACATTTGTTAACACACACTGCATAACACGATGGCAGTAACAGTACAGTATGTAACCTATGAAAGTGCGTCACTTATAAACAAACATTTGCATGGGATAAACAATAACCATGTCCTAATCACAATACTTCGGATTTGGTTTGCTGACCCGACCTGATCGGGTTCTGTATAGATTTTCAGTCGTAATCAAAGTTGGATTGAATCTGATATTGGGTCTACTGGGCGCTCAGAGTCCATTCCCTGCTGTGTCTGTCCTGTGTCAGGCCTAATGTCCTGATTAAAATCGTGTGCATTAACTGAGTTGGAGCCGGCTCAGCAACATGTAAGATGTGTTTTCGGTTCCTCCTGTATGTTTGTCCTTCAGACTGGATCAAGTACGATCTCGGCTCAACGCACATCTCTTTGACTATTCCGGTGCGGTCATATCCTTTTGGTGTTTGCAGTCTGACCACCTGTCCTTCCGACAAAGGCTTAAGAGCCCTGCTTGTCTTGTCATAATACACCTTTTGTGTCAGTCTTTTATTCAGAAGCTGTTCGCGCACTTCCTCAGGATTGAGCATTTTGGGAGCAAGCAGCTCTTTGGACACTGGAAGAGTGGAGCGTGTTTGCCTAGACATAAGTCTTTGTGCTGGAGATCCAAGTTTAGAGTCTCTAGGTACGTTCCTTAAGTTCAGCAGGCAGAGAAACACATCTGTTTTGTCCCTATGTGATTTCTCCATGAGGTTCTTAGCACTACGGACGGCTCTCTCTGCTAGTCCATTCGATTGAGGATACTCTGGGCTGCTAGTAACATGAGCAAAGTCCCATTGAGCTGCAAAGTCCTTAAAGCACTGACTTGTGAACTGTCGTCCATTATCTGTGATCAGAGTGTGAGGGGCTCCATGGACCGAGAAGTGCCTTTTTAGTTTGCAGATCACATTAGCCGACGTGATGTTGTTTAACAGGTCGATCTCGAACCAGCCCGAGAAGGAATCCACAAGCACCAGATACTGCTGGCCGTGCCATTCAAAGATGTCAGCAGCTACAGTCGACCAAGGGAGCTCAGGAATGGTGTGCAGGAGCAACGGCTCTTTTTGCTGATGTGGTTTAGTGCTATTACACACCGAGCATGCCTGAACCTCGTTATCAATGTCCATTGTCATTGTAGGCCAAAACACAATGCCTCTCGCCCTCCGTTTTGTAGCTTCCGAGCCAGGGTGGCCCCTATGTACAATGTCAATGTATGTCTTCTGTAATGAATGTGGAATTACAGTTTTCTGACCCTTCATAACAATACCATCCTCAACAGCAAGCTCATCTCTAAAGGGAAAGAAAGGATGCATTGCAGAAGGGAGATTGTGTAGTTTACTTGGCCAGCCATGTCTGATGACGCCGCTGAGGGTCTGGAGAGTCCGATCAATGGCTGTGTGTTCTCGCAGTTCCTGTAAACGAGCAGATGACACATAGCTGACAGTCATTACATCAAAATCATCCACCTCGTCTTCAAGTTGTGCCGTGGAGCTTGTGGGAGCCCTGGACAAAGTGTCAGCCAGGTGCATTTGTTTGCCGCTTTTGTAGATTAACTCAATGCTGTACTTCTGGAGCCGCAGCATCATCCTCTGCAGCCTGGCCGGAGCAGTATGAATGGGCTTTTTGATGATTGTGACAAGCGGTTGATGATCAGTTTCAACGGTGATAGATTTGCCATAAATGTAATCATGAAACTTTGAACATGCAAAAACAACAGCTAATAGCTCTTTTTCTATTTGCGCATAACGCGTTTCGGTATCGGTTAAAGTGCGTGAGGCATAAGCCACAGGTCTGCCACCCTGCAGGCACGCAGCACCAAGTCCATATTGCGAGGCATCACAGGTAAGTGTAACATTCTTCCACACATCATAATACGATAGAACGGGAGGATTTGACATGTGCCCTTTAAGGGTGTCAAACGCGCGCTGATGCTGTTCATGCCACGACCATTCAGTGTCTTTGTGTGTTAATTGTCTCAGTGGAGCAGAGGTCTCACTGAAATTAGGGATGAATTTCCCGAGGTAATTAACCATACCGAGAAACCTTTGCACAGCCGGCACATCCGCTGGCACTGGCATGTCACTGATCGCCTTTGTTTTCGTGGGGTCTGCCTTCAGACCGTGTGCAGTGAAAACATGTCCAACATAACTGACTTGGTTGAGCCTGAATTTGCACTTTGAAGGGTTGAGCCTTAGATTAACCTCTCTCGCTCTGTCAAGTACCTTTTTTAGGTTTGCATCATGCTCCTCAATGTCCTTGCCTCCAATCAGTATGTCGTCCACAATGATGGCGCAGGGGTAACCAGCAAAGATCTGCTCCATGGAGCGTTGAAATACCTCACTGGCAGAACTTATCCCAAACGGCATTCGGAGGAATCTGTAACGACCAAAGCATGTGCTAAAAGTAGTTAGCATAGATGATTTGTGGTCCAGTGATATCTGCCAAAATGAGCTCTTTGCATCCAATACTGAGAACACTGTGGCATTAGACATTTGTGATGCGACATCATCTACTGTGCGCATCGGGTGGTGTGGTCTTTTAAGGGCCGCGTTAAGGTCCTTTGGATTTATGCAGATCCGTATTTCTTGTTTGTCCTTCTTATTTGTGGCGACCATGGAAGATACCCAGTCTGTGGGTTCTGATACTGGTTTAATGACCTCTAGTTCTTGCATTCTGTCCAATTCGTTTTTTACTCTGTCTTTCATCGCCACAGGAATGCGGTGTGCTGAGCGAACTACAGGTCTCACCTCAGGATCCAGCGTCATTGAGTAAGTAACTGGTAGCTTTCCCAGTTCATCTGCAAAAAGATCACTGTACTTTGTTTTAATCTGTTGAGTGAAATCATTAGTTATTGCAGAGCTACTCACTTGGTGAACTTCCTTGCTGAGTGAGACGAGATCCATCTGTAAGGAAGCGTTGAGACCAAGCAATGGCTGTACATGCTCCTCAATAACGAAGAATGGCAGGGTGTAGCACTTAGCCCCTAGGTGGCAGCACAGGTCAACGATTCCCTCAGTCTTTATCTTACTGCCTCCATATGCAACCAGGTTCGTTGGTTTAGTGCATGGTTTGATTTGTTCAAATTTTTTCACCTTGAGAAACGTCTTTGTTGAGAGGACATTACATTTGGCACCAGTGTCCACTTTCATCTCGATGATTTTATCATTAATCCGCAACGTTGTGAAAGCTTCCTCCTTTTCGTTTGTTTGTGCTACAGTAGAGTCCACCGCCAGGTCCAGTGTAATGCCATTCACATAATATGTGTTACTGTCACTGTCACTCTCCTCTTTGTGTTCAGTATACACCTGGTGGACCGATTTCTCTTGTCTAAGCCTGTCGTACTGAGGTCTGGACCTGCAACACTTTTTGAAGTGGTTCATTCTCTTACAAGCGTTGCACTGTTGGCCATATGCTGGACATTTAATCCTTGCAGCTGAATGACTCCCACCACAATTGTTGCAGTTGTTAATTAACTGTGTGGGTTTTGCGTTTGATCTGTCGAACCTCTCAGTGTTGCGTCTTTTTGTGTAGTTGTTTTGTACTGCATCTACATTCGTGGCTGAGCTTTGTGGCGACATGAGCGATTTATTGTGCTCCTCAGTCATCTCATGAATCTGGCACACTGAAATGGCTTTAGCGAGCGTTAAATCACTGTCACGAAGCAAAACTTTCCTAAGGTGGTCGTTGTTTATGCCACAGACCAGTCTGTCTCTGACAAGTTCCTCACGAAGCTCACCAAAATTACAGCTCTTCGCTTTTATTCTCAAATCACTCACATATGACTCAACTGTTTCACCAGCCTTTTGATTTCGTGTATTGAACTTGTGTCTCTCCATCGTTATGTTGGTTTGGGGGTTACACATTTCCCTGAACTTTCTTTTAAGGCATTCTGGGTCCTCCTTGGATTCAGCGGGAGCCAGGACACGTCCATCGTCGCCAGGTTCACGTACCTCCGCTGCATAGACAAAAGAGCGCTCCCTCTCGATTGCTTCAGGGCCTGCTAGATTCAGGAGAATGTAGGCTCTTGTCCGTGCAGACTTGTCTGAATGAGCTGCCGCGACGAAAATGTCGTATTCTTGCTCAAAAACGCGCCAGTTCTCCGCAATGTTGCCATCAAACACCAGCGGGTCGGGACGTCTGAAGCAGTCTGCCATGATGCTGAAAAAATTAGCGTTGTAGCACGATGGTCCCGCAAAAAATACTCACAACACGTTGTTTTACACTCCTATTTCAAAATCCAAGACTTCTGACACCATGTTGTGTGTTGTGATAATAAGAGAACTCAGAGAAAGGGTCAACTTTGAGTTTAATAACACACCGGCAGTAGGAACACACTCTGGTATATCTCGGTGCTCTCATAGCTAATTCGCCTCTAGCCCCCACCACTGCGCATGTGTAGACACGAGTATGGTAGCTGTGATAGGTCACACTAGCAGCACTCTACACCAAGTATCTGGATTTGCAGTCTATCAACACAACCACTGGACTATCTCAGTGACAACGAAATGTTACATTCTAGTAGTTATCTTAGACTCGCTGTACACGGTCTTGTCATCTTGAATATCCGCGAAAAAAGAACGAATACCAAATTGTAAACAACTTACAGCGTTGAAACATACCCGTTCTGACGTCACCAAGGGCTGTGAAGTTTTTTCGTTTCTAAGGGCGTTGCTATGGGGTTATTTCGATTTGGGGGGATCAGACAAAAAAAACAACAACTGATTTTGAAACCTTTAGTAGTTCTCTTCTAATATAAAATGGTATTAAAACTGTATTTCTAAATAAATCAAACCCGTCATAAGGTCTTTAAGGTTACTCAAGTTATTCCTTGCAACAAAATAATTACATCAATTCTAAAACTCCACATTATGATTTTGGTCTACAAAAGAAAATGCATTGACTTGGTTTGAGTTTTTATGTGAATCTGTCACAGATCTGAATCACACTTGTCTTCTCCTCTTCCATGTGAGCAGACATCGTGGGAAACGCAGAACACGTGTCTTTGGTGTGTGCTTAAGTGAATCAATACCAGGAGGCTGTGCTTCCGTCCCTCGCATTGATCGGATTGACAGAAGGGCAAATTCAAAGAAGACACTCGACAGGACAATCTGAGCAATCTTCCTTTTGTAACGCACACCATTAATACGCCAGAGCCTAACTAAGACAAATAGCCCTGGTGCCGCTATCACACGCTCGACCTTGGGACTGTAATTGAACTGTGATCCATGCGTCTGCTCATTGGACCAAACGTGCGCTGATTAAGCAGGGAAGAGGCGTAGGAGATCCCGGGAAGTAAAGGGAAACAGACACAGGAGCCATAAGAAAGGTAAATAAAAAGTCAGATTCAGATTCAGTTGTGATGCTCACATCAACTGGATATATACTGTTTGAGTTTATAAATAAGAAGTGACAGATATGTAATAACTACAATGCATTATTCTGTACACTAAAAGACATTTCACAGTATTATTAATTTACTCCATACATGTTGGTGGTAAACTTTTGTTTTATTTGTTTGAATAGGCAGGCACGGTGGCTGAATGGTTAACACTCTCGCTGAGGTAGAAGAAGAAGATGTGAGTTCAATTCCACCTTTCTGAGTGGAGTTCTCCCTGTGTCTGCACAAGTTTCCTCTACTACTAAAAATAATTACAATAGCCCACCTCTCTGGGGCCATGACTCCCATGAAAAACAGATTCCAAAATCTCAATGTGACCTTCCTCTTTAAATAAAAGTTAACAAAGGTTCATTTGAATGCGGCAGTGTGTCACCAGACACACACTCCTTCACCCTAAACTATTGTGCATGTTTTTAGTGCACCAGAGGAAACATACACTGTATGCGCACACAGGAAGAACATGCAAACTCCACACAGAAGTGGAATCGAACCCGGGACCTTCTTGGTGTTAAGCCCCAGTACTAACTTCACCGTGTCACTGTGAGAGACTGACAGACTCAACTGAAGCAACTCATTTGTGACACCAGCCCCTCAGACCATCATCAATCATTAATTCACACAACAGACTCATGCTGGGCATTGTGGGTGAAGTGTCTTGCCTAGGACACAAGAGCAGTTTGACAGTTTACAGGTCTCTCATCACAGTACTACACAGCACTTGCCCTGGCGAGCTTCTGAGGTCCGACGGGATCAGGCTCCTAGATCTGCAGTTTAGTTCATGTATGGTGAATCTGGAAAGTAGTTTAACTAAATAAAGGTAGACAAAGTAGACAAAAACTATGGATATCAGACAGAATATTGAACACGAGAGTTTAGACAACAATGACGAACAATTCCACCTATTGTACATGTTGTTTCTAATGGTCGGGAAACTTACGCAGGTACTTAGAGAACATGAAAACATGCCATTGATTGATGCTAAAAGTGATGATAATATAGGAGAATTCAAAAGTGCAGTTTTTATAAAGTCTGTGTGGTCAACATCACAGTGTGGATCAGAAACATGGACTCAGTCCAAACTAATGATGAATCGTCTGAAATTTGAAATGTGGGAGTTAAGAAAGAGATGGGAACGAGGTCGAAGCACAAATTGGTCTTGAAGAGTTCTCTCAGAACATGTAGACAAGAAGTTGTATTTTGGCTGCATTATTCACTAAAATGGTTTTAGTGTCCTTCTAGAAGAGACAAGAGAGAGAAAGGGGGGAAGGAATGTGGTCAGATCACATCAAACACTGGACGCTACTGGACATTATGGTGCTTGGATTCAAATGATGTATGTAAAACCTGCACAACTAACACACGTAACATAAAGACAAAGCACAGACAGAAAATGTACAAGTAAGATGGGGATGATGATGAGGATGATAGAAGCTGAATAAAGGATTTATAATACCACACATTTGTCAGAAAAAAGCTAAACTGGTACCACTCAAGAAGTCAAATTTTGAGTCTTTGATAAAAATATTTTTTTGCAGTGATAACAGCTGGGAATGTCAAAAGCTCTTCACAGTTATCTGATTCTCTCTTGTAAACAATGTGAGTGGGTGATCTGCCGCACAGCTTTAGGGCTGAAGGTTTTAGGGCGGGCATGTCCAAACTAAGGCCTGTGGGCCAAATGCAGCCCTCTAAGGTACATATTTTATGATGCCTTCTTCCTTGCTAACACAAAGAAGTCTTTAAGATCTCTAACTGAGTTCATACTGTCATCCAGCCAACTTCAGCTCCACCAAAAACGGCATGCTATACATTGTTGTAAAGCTAAAAAACTATTGGATCCAATCGCTGAGTTTACATCCTTTGTTTTTGATTGTGTCACAAAATTCAATATATATGGTGCTAATGTAGCTGTGGTGAGGTAGTAAACTCGTAATCTTCAGTTCTGGCAAATGTGAAAGGGAAATGTCATACCCCATTTAAATGTTCAGAGCAGCTCAAATCCAGTAAAAACAGTTTTGTAATCTGGGTAAGCGGATGATAACAGAAGAGAGATGCCGCATCGAAGCCTCTGACCATCCCCATCCAATCACTCTCTCATTACATTCACCATGTTTTTAGAGGTAGGGGAAACCGGAGAACCCGAAAGAAACCTACACAGACACTGGGAGAACTTCTGTGAAGCAGAAGTGCTACCCACTGACCACTGTTGCGTCCGTACCGTAAACAGTCAAGTGTGGACAGTGTGGCTGAGTATTGCAATGGAATGATTTAAAGATTATAATCACTCACACCCTGGTGCTGGCACGGGGCCAAGCTCGTCATTCAGAGGCTCAGGGTGGCGGCGGTGGGGCAGCAGAGGGAGCAGACTAGGCTCTTCTCCCTCAAGGACACTGGCCCTGACGTATTACTGCTGACGAATTACTGCAGAGGACTTGTTGAATAAGCTGTAGTTTTGGTACACAACTACAGCTTATTCAACAAGTATGTTTCATAAATGCATTGCTTTTTATATTTTTTTAATTCCGTCTTTGCAAATGATAATAAAAATGTAATTTTTTTTGTAATTCAAGATGTAAAAATGTGATTCATTATTTCTCATACGGATCCAAATCTTGCACACTTTTGTCCAATTATGACATTTTAGGTGTGCTTTTTGGGTTTAAGGATGTTTGGGCTGGATTTTTCACACAAAAAAGGGATTTTAGTTCCAAAACCGTTTGAGGTAATACAGGTTGTGAGTGTGTATGTGCATGGTTGTGTGTGAGAGCTGTGTGTATTTGTGTGAGAGCTGTATGTGTGCACGTGTGTTTGAGCGCTGTGTGTGTGAGTATATGTGTGAAATGTGTGTGTATGCGTGCATGAGTGGTGTGTGTGTTTGTGTGTGCTCATGTGCAGCCTTCAGACTGAAGCCACCGTCAAACACAAACGAGGCTAGACTCAAACGTTTCTCTCCCCATTAGCTCTGTGTATTCACAGGCCAATCTGGAACAGGCTTTCCTTTGAATCCAAAGTTATATCCTGACTTCAGTACCTACACTTTATATCCCCATCCACTCCCATTACACTGGCCTAACTAGGTTTGTGTGGAAGTCCATATATGGGCATCCTGAGACTGTCATTCAAGTGATTTTAACTGATACAGTTTTTGCTTATCCCCACAGAACAAAAGTTACAACGTTATACCTTTTCTCCATAACTTCTCCTTTCCTACGTATCCTTGGTTAAACTGACTCGTTTTAATGTGGTTACCATTTAATTTGGTAATGCTAAATTGCTTAATCTAAATCATTTTTCAGAAATCCATCAACTTGAAAGGGAACTGTCAAAATGACTGCTCTGGGAGTACTAGTAGTTTCAGAATTCTGGGAGTCCTAGTGTTAATATTGCAGCATATGTGTGTTGCAGTCAAATATCAAATTTCTCCAAAAAAGCGTAAACATGGTGTAATGTGACACTTCTGATTCCTCGTCTCAGCAGCTAACTGCAATGATTATTAGAAAGCGTTTTCTGTCTTTGGCAGTAATGATGCACACAGACGCTGCAGAGGAGACTTGTGAGTGTGCGTGGAGCCAGCATCGCGGACATGTCTCTCATTGACGAGCACAGAGGCGTCTTTTGGAGTACAGACTTCACAGCTTCACTTGGCACTGTGCAAAAAAGGCCTTTTAAAAAACTGCTTTTTCATCTTTCCAAGTTGACTCTGAGACAATGCCGCGTCCAGCAGGCACACAGCCCATAATGGAACTTCACACCGATTGC